CTTTCTCCCTGCCTGTCAGTTTCGTAATTTGTTACCTTGGTTAGTGATTTGATTAGTTATTCCATACAGCTGTGTCCTAAGTAGTTCCCTTTGTTTGTTCCATGTATTTAAGTCCTTGTGTTTCATTTGAGTTTTGTCCGGTCTTGTCGATGCTACCATGTGTTTGTATTACCTATGAGTTGGATTAAAGACTTTTTGGAACCTTAATTTTCTTTGTGCGTTTGTACACACCATACCATGACAGATTGCCTATTTGGCTCATTTAATCAGACTGTACCAAAATTATATATATATATATATATATATATATATATATAGTGTGTGTGTATAGCCTACATATATTACAAAATTATATGTTTAATAACCAAATTGAACATGCAACGTTTTACATATTTAAATAGTTTGTTGGATATTCTTACTCTGCAGTTTTTGTTGATTTCAAAGCAATGTTTGCGTTTCAGTTTTCACTTCACAGTTAGAAAGTAGGAAAAATGTTGTTCTGGAAACCTTTTATTCAGTTAAACAGCAGGGTATTGGAAATAAACAGCACGTTTAGCTGCACAAAGCCTGGCAGTGTGGCTCTCTGTTGTACTGAGTCATTTGATAACTGTAACATGTCTCAGACTCGGCTGCAATCCAGGGGTCCCATTTGTGGTTTCACAGGAGATTCAGAGCTATTTTTGCAGGAAATTTGGGTCAGCGGTTTATTGTCCTCTTTAACCAGTGTCTTACATCCACTGAAACGTACAACAGAAGTTCTTTGAACAGCACAAGAGGTCAGGAAATAATCGGATTTCTTTGTACAGAACCCCAACAGACATTTTCAATCTTGATGGACTGGCATTAACATATCAAAGAACTATCACTTTTATTTTTGTGTGCATTCAATAAGGTTTTACAAGAAAATACTATTTCAGTCTTTCTACTTCAAAATTTCACAATTATTTCAATGTGTTGCTTGCTTTATCTTTGTAATTATTTGTGAAATTTGCTAACAATTTTTAAGTGAAAATTGTTTCTACACCAATTTTTTTTTTTTTTTGCAGTTTAACAGAATCTACTGATTGGGATCCAATGCATACGTCCAGATGACCCCTAGAAGACTTGAATATCATTGTCTATCTTGGAAAAGTAAGTCACACTCTCCTTTGCAAACTTTTTTTTATAGTTATTTATAACTTTATGTAAATGTATTTATACTTAATTTTTTTTTAATAATTATTTGAATATATATTATGGTGTATTACAGTATCTGTATGCATGTATGGTCCCTGAGGGGGAAAAATGTCTATATGCAGGACAAAAATTAATTGCTGGGTCTAAAAATGATTACTGTTCTAAAATTTTTGAAGTGAACATTTTTCATTTCACATTAGCCAAAGTTAAACATTCCAACTTTGACTAATGTGTTCAGAGCACACACTTCTGATTCACATTTACTGTAGCCAACTGTTTGCTTGGACTTAATTAAGGGCCGGTTTGTTTGGAAAGACATGACAGCAGCAGCCGACCAATGGGCTAATGCGAAACTAATTCTCCTTAAATATTATTCTCATATCCTTCCCAAGTAACTCATCACTCGTTCAGCTAGTGAGGGCAAACAATGTGAGCAGAATATTCCCACATTGCTTTGAGAGACGTGAAATCCATGGCCATTAGGACCAGACCACTGCAGCAACATCATCTGCAAGTCTAATGATGTTGGCAGTTCATGCCGTTGCAGTATTTAATTAATTTAAATAACCCAATTTAAACAATGACATGCGTGTGCGGGGAGATTGATGTGCCTGTCAGTTAAGGAAGGTTTGTCTGATGATGTGGGATCACATCTCACTGTAGTTCCCATAATGCACTGCTGGAAATGGGGGGAGGGGGCTGTTAAGCAAGGTTTGGCCATTACTCATCTCACATAAAAATGCCATGAATGCTGAAGCTTACACATACATTGCACACCTACTGATAAAGAAAATTGCTAAGATAATCACTTGAGGTTAATTAGTGCAAAACCTAGTCTGACATTTGGAAATAATCCCGTCAGATATCTTGATTGTTTGCATGGCTTGCGAAGATGTTTGGTCATTTTATTCATTCTACACTTGTCTAAGTAGAATTTTTTAAGACATGTTTAGTCTTATTGATGATTCATCAGTGCAGGTAATTCATGTTGACTTAAGAATCTCTTTCGGTAGCAATCTATAGGCTTCAGTGTTTATTTTATAAATATACTTATTGCTTACTAAAATGTCATGCTCATTCCTAATACATTAATTTGAATGTATACAACATTAACCAAAATTAATAAATACATTTATTAATACCTTGTTGTACAGTGTTGTTGCTATTTCTATCTGATCTGGCCATTACAAATGACCTTCATTGGTGTAACCTAATGCAGTCATGTTGCTTCATTCATATTTTTGACTGGTATAAAACCAGTTAGTTTAGATTTTACAACAAGTTACCTAATACGTATTTTTACACTGTAGACATCAGTAAAACATACTCAAACTCAGAATGTAATGTATTCATAAATAAACTCTTTTATTAAATAAAATATTTTATTGATACCTTGATGTACAGTGTTACTGCTATTTATGGGCATTAAAAATGGCATTCATTGGTGTCATGTTGAATCATTTATATTACATCATTTTTTTACTTCAAACAGTTTATATTTACCACATTTTTTTTTTTTTACAGTGTGATGTATATCGACACTTATAAATTACTCTTTTTTTTAAATATTTTGTTAGTAATATTAAAATGCATCTATTTTTTCCTGTTTTTCAGATTATAAATATTCATACAAGACATTTTCTAAACTGCAGCTAATGCCATATTCAAGTTATATCAGTGTTTTTAATACTCTCCATTGTCATGTATTGTTTATATCTTGTATTTGGATAATTTCATGCTTAGTTTCCTGTCTATTGTGTTTGGGCTTCCTTTTTTTCAAAATAAAATGATTGACTTTCCTAATACTCGCTCTCATGTTGAGCGTCTGTTTCCACTCAGTTTGACACAAACACTAAATTTTTCTGATTTAACGCACATCAGTTGCAGGAAAAAAATAAAACTCCAGACATCCCTGAAAGCAATCACTTTAATTAAAGCTCGCACCACAGCGGTGTATGTGTACAATAATGTGCTGATATGTTTGGAATGGGTTCTGTTCACTCTGATATTGTTTCTTGTCTTGCATATAGAAAACTGACTGGCATTTATCTGTTTCTGTTTTTTATTTTATTTTAGGGCTCTCTAGAATGTAGACAGCAAAGAAGCTCACTAAGTTTTTGGAACAAGACACTCATTTTTCTTGTTCTTTCTCTGAGGCAGTGAAAATGGTCTTTGAGAAAATAGACCTCATCTTTGAAGGGAATTGAATTGCAGGGCCTTGGATTTTTTGGCTTTCCTTTCATTTAGTTGGTGTTCCCGGGGATATTAAGGTTGCATTGTCCCCAAGCAGACTTCTAAGAATAATTCCGTTTCAGAAATGGTCCATAAAAGCTTTGATTCACTCTGATCATCTAGGCAGCCACTTCATAGCTGTGTCCTGATTGTGCTTTCAGATTGAATCAAGGGAAAATACAAAGATGAACCAGTATCATCAGAGCTTGAGACTGTGGTGCAGACCTCCAGTTTTTCATCATCACAGATTCTAGCAACACCACAAGCCAGAAAGATTGAGTACATGGGAAAATCTGTGGGAAAAAAATCATATTCCCACTTTCAAGTTAGGATATCTTTCAAATTCCTCCAATGTCGTACCAGAGAAGGATCTTCATTAATCCCTGCTATACTCTCAGGGAAGGTTATTAATTGAGTGGTTTGATGAATGAACACTTGCCTCTGAATTATGGGTATTCTGCAGCAGTAGAGAGCTTGCAGATTTACGGCGCTCTCCCTGGTGATGAGGGGTTTAACTTCTCAGTCTGAAACGCTAAAACCAGAGGAGGTTTTGGTAGAGAGTTGTTGTCTATCCGCACTTTAATGTGTTTGTCAGAAGACCGCTGGGTAACAATTCAGAAAGAAAGCTAATTTCCATCTAAATCTGAGGCTGAAGTCTTATTGGCTGTTCAACGCACCATCACCAGTTTTGCCCCTGACATTTTTCAAGTCTTGGAAATGAATGAATGAATGGATTGTTTTAAAGTTTTAAGGCCTTCATGAATAATGCAATGACCTCGATATGTTCTAAAGAAGCTTTAGAATTTCTTGTAGGGACACGTGGACATTTTGTTTTTAGACATTTCTTTTCTGTCTGACCTAAATTTAGTTGCTAAACTTGAGTGCCTTGTAACTGAGGCCGTGATGAATTAATAATCACGGCAAAGAACTTTGTCCTCAATCTTTAGAACTCAAAATAGTTGATTGATAGTGGAGTGAAACATATTGTACTTTTTGTGGTGGGCTAAACCACAAATAACCAAACCAGTCTGGAAATTCTTGCACTCGTTTTTCAAGCTGTCAGATGCTTTAAGGTCCAAAATATGAAAATTCTGTAAAATTGGCATCTGCAGCAAACTGTAATCAGGTCATGGCAATAAGTCCTGTCCTCCTTCACTGCTCCTTTTCAGGAGACCTTCATGAATAATCAGAGAAAAAACAGGCCACTGTTACTCTTTGAAGTTTTCCGTGCAACTAAAAATAATCCCATAATGCATTATAATGAAAAACTATTTGTTGGTTCCATCACTGCAGATGTAGTCAGAAAGCTTCAGCAGTACACAAACCAAAATGCAGCCGCCTTTGAAAAGAAACTGAGGACATTGTACTTGTGGTTATTTGCATTTTGATTGACATGTAGGGTCAGGGTTAGCCATCAGATGATCACATATGAGTATATACAGTGGTGTGAAAAAGTGTTGGCCCCCTTCCTGATTTCTTATTTTTTTGCATGTTTGTCACACTTTAATGTTTCAGATCATCAAACAAATTTAAATATTAGTCAAAGATAACACAAGTGAACACAACATGCAGTTTTTAAATTAAGGTTTTTATTATTAAGGGAAAACAACATCCAAAACTACATGGACCTGTGTGAAACAGTGTTTGCCCCCTAAACCTAATAACTGGTTGGGCCACCCTTAGCAGCAACAACTGCAATCAAGCGTTTGCGATAACTTGCAATGAGTCTGTTACAGCGCTGTGGAGGAATTTTGGTCCACTCATCTATGCAGAATTGTTGTAATTCAGCCACATTGGAGGGTTTTCGAGCATGAACCGCCTTTTTAAGGTCATGACAGCATCTCAATAGGATTCAGGTCAGGACTTTTGACTAGGCCACTCCAAAGTCTTAATTTTGTTTTTCTTCAGCCATTCAGAGGTGGACTTATATGTGTGTGTGTGTGTATACATCCCACTGTTTTTTGCTAACTTGTACATTTTTGCTGTTTCAGTCCTATAAAAGCTGTTGAATAGCAAGTGTCCCATTGTGAAATCTTAGTCAGTGCAGTGTAACAACATGTCTGGCTTTTAGAAACAGTTCCTCTTCATATGCTGGGACATTGATGTTTTCATAAGGTGTGGTTACATGCAGCCAAAAAATTTACATTGTCCATTGTCAATAGTGTAGCGATGTCTGAAGCACAAACAAAGCGGCTTTCTGTTGGTCAATGCGGTTAATTAGCTTGACCAACTTGAACCCTGAAGCAACACCCCCCCCCCCCAAATTAAAAAAAAAAAAAATAAAAAATTAAAATTAAATACAAATAAGAATTAAAAAAGGAAAGTTGACAAAGAATGGTAACTGCACCACCTTTACTCTTTCATTCGAGTTGCAGGTGTGACATATTAAATCTATGAATCTTTATATCTATTTATAAGTGGGTTTATTTATTTATTTATTATTATTTTTTTATTAAAACAGATCTGTGCACCACCTTTCACATTTTACTAACAGATACTAAATGTCCTTAAACGAATACTTAACCAAAAAAATTCTTAAATGAATACTTCTCTTGGCTATTTGCACATCTGGTTAGATGCTAACTGCATTTCATTAGCATTGTTCTTGCACTTCAGACACAATAAATTTGAATCTAATCTAATCTAATAAAACTAATATAAAAGAAAAACCAGTCATACCATCCATCATGTTAATTCTGATATGTTTTTCTGTGGAACATTCTAGATTTCATTAAAATAATATTTACCCAGGACAGTTCATAGTGTCCACATCTGTGATCTATTGCGAATTGTTGATCTCGTGACATCCGAGATCGAAAATGATTTGCCGCCAAAAACGTCAAAGGAGATTATGAGTAAATAGCCTACGTCTTCATTTTCATGTTGTTCTTCGCACAAAACTATCACGTCTACAGATTTAGAATATGAAGCAATATGGACTACGTTAATGGTGTTTTACTGTTTGGAACTTGAATTTACATTTTCAGGTGAAGTAGCCCATTTCTTTAATTGCCACGTTACATTAAACTATAGATATGAGCAGCCAAATTAACTACTCTTTCCCTTAAAATCCATCCTATCAACTGATAGGCCTAACATTTTAGACTAACATGTTTAATTGACTACTGTGTTAGCAGCATAGCCTATAGTGCTTATATCATTAATTAATTTAAAATGTTATTAAATTTAGCTTCACGTTTTTATTTATAGGCTATATTAATTTGAATATGCAATGGTTACTGCTCCGTTAAGTGCAATGTTTGTTAATGGCGTTTATTTAAATTTTGGTTATTATAAAGTTTGGTTATTATAAAGTAATATACTTTATAATATATATACTTTATACTATATATATATACTTTATATATATACACACACCAATGCTCCGGGTGTGTGTTCACGGTTTGTGTGTGTTCACTGCTGTGTGTGTGCACTTTGGATGGGTAAATGCAGAGCACTAATTCCGAGTATGGGTCACCATACTTGGCCACATGTCACGTCACTTTCACTTTCACTTTTTTTTAAGTACAATCGTTTCATTGCAGGAGCAGTAAAGAGACTCGCATCCAATGGTCATCTATCTACACGTGTCCCGTAAGGAAATATGCAAAGGAAAGTGTTCTCCTTTAACTGCCGAGCTCTCCCCATCCCCTCACACGCCTTTACCAGCCTGTGGTTCCTTCCTACACAGAGCAAGAGGCGGAGGAGAGAACGGAGATCGTAGATACGCATCCTAGTTGAAGTCAATGAGAACTTCTCTTCGGAGGAAACGGCCGTTTTTGAAGGAGCCTCAGGACGTTTGGAGATGCTTTTGATGGTCTCAGCCGGTGATATCGCTCCGTTCATGGTCAGAACAAAACTGAGGGACCATTTCAATGACCCAATGTGCTCGTTTTGAGGAGCAGAGGAGACGTTTCTGTAGGATTCTCAGTCCGGAGACGTGATGTCTGCCAGCGCGCGTGTCCTGCTCTTAGGTAAGTTTCCTCCTCGTGCTTGTGAGTGATGTTTTTGCAGCTCCTGTCAAATGTGATAAGTTGTAGAGATTTAGTAGAGCTGTAGACTTTGTAGTAGTTGATATGGCTGGTGATATCGATTGTTTCTACTAATGTGACTTTTAGATTACAATAGCGATAAGCGATCAGATTATGGCAAGCCGGGTTTTCTTTAAACGAACTGATATCTTTTTATGGACTACTTATTTGAAGTAGTCCAATATCGTTTTCTTTCCCTAGTAACTGTTTTTTAGTATGCATTCTTGTAGTGATTAGTATCTTTCTAATTAGTCTAGTTATTCATTAATTCAGTATGTTTTCTATCCTGGTAGCAAATTACATATTTTTGCCATTGAATTTCATGAAGATGTGAACTCTTTTCTTCCGATTCTATTCCAGTTGTTACTGGTATCTTTTTAAGTTTTACTAGCTGCATTTAATTGTTTACTTGCCATATCTCATGAACTAGTCAGAATACCTATTTTGTAGTTCAAACTTATTATTCAAAAGTAATTAAATGTTAAAGTGGCGTGCCATAACCAGGCATATATATCTTTGTGTGCTGTATCATTCAGCATCCGTAGATATTATGCAATAATTTATTAATGCCTTCCTGTCCTTGAATTAAGTTATGCTTTCATGTGTTCTCCGCAAGTGGTCTTAGATGTATGTTTCTCAGCCTTTTCATAAACACTGCATTGCAATATTTTAATTTATACATGAATTTGAAGTTTAAAGTGAATTAGTTTTACTTTTTTCTTCATTTCTCCATACTTCTGCAATTGAGATATTTTATGTTAGAATATGTAACAAAAAAACAACTTTTTAAGCCCAAAAGCTATTTAAATGTCAAAAGTCTCTTACGGTGCCTGTCAACACCACTATGTTCAGTTACAGTAAAATAGGCCAGTGATTCAAACCACCATTGTGAACAAAGAATGATATGTGAAATGAATTGCTGTTATCGTGTCAGGGTATCTTACGTTTTCCATTCTGTCCTTTGTAAAATTATTTGTCCTGCGCACCTTAGCAAATACAGAGCAATCACATCATTTTACTATTGTGGCAACTGTTTAGAATAGTTTGTAGTGTTTGGATATTGAATCTTAAAGAAATGTGACTCACCAACCTTATATAGCACATTTTACCTGCTGGCTATTTTACTTGACATCATTCTAGATACAGTATAACTAGATTTGCATGTCCTTAAGGAAATGGCAGTTCTTAGTTGCATGTCAGCAAAATAATAATAGTAAAGTTTTAGGAAAGCTTAGGTTTTAGGCTTTGGTTCTTGTGTAAATTAAGTGTGCACCAGCCCTACACTTTGCTGTTGTCATGATGTTTATGTGTGTCTTATTTCCAGCTGCGTGAGAATCAATACATGAGCTTGAAGTTGTGTGTAAGGCATTTTACTGGTAATGTGATATATTTCAGAGTGAATCTGGATGATCAAATGAGAAAAAATATATTGGGTGAGACTCGATTTTATCCACTGGGTAGTGATTGTATTGTGCAAATTGTTGAGAGGTGTTTGGAGTAGAGTGGGTGAAAATTAAAATGGCTTGATGTCAGATGATGAAAAGAACATTTCAGAGGCAGAGCAAGTTGTTGTATTTTTATGAAAAATTGCAGTAACAAGCACTTTTTGATTTGAAATAACTTGCACCGATTAATCATTCGTAATAAGACTACAAATATGTAATTAAAGTAAGTAATGACAACCTGTGTGCTTTCTTTCACTGAAGTGTTGTGACTAGACAATAAGCGGCACAGAGAGATGCGAGGCGCTTGAATCCTCAGACTCACGCACATACAGGAGCAAACGCCACAGCAATTATCATGATGAGCGCTTTCATTAGTTGCATTAAAACAACTGTGCTAGACAAGCCGTGCAAACAACACAACATATCACAACACCATCATCATCCACACCATGCAGATACGCCAACACAACACAACTGTCTATCTAATTTTCATTGGTTTGGGCTTTCTTCTGGTAATAATTGATCATTGTCTAATAGTAAAGAACATCGTATTCCCTGTAGCAGCAATTATCACTCCTGCAGTTGTAAATAGATGTCTTTTTGTTTGTTTGTTTGATTGTTTTCACTCCTCATTGTTGCTCTAGTGCAGGGTTCCTCAAATCTTTCCCTGGAGGGCCAATGCGCTGCAGAGTTTAGCTCCAACCCTGATCAAACTCACCTACATGTGATTTTCTAATGATCCTGAAGACATTGATTAGCATGCTCAGGTGTGTTTGATTAGG